GGGCTGGCGGGCAGGCGCTGTGTTCCCGCAGCTCCTGTTAAACGTGCCCTTCTTGGGAGGCCCTTCATCCCACAGCAGAACGCGGCGGGTGTTTGCCTGTCTACCTTGTTGGCAGTGCTTCGTGTCTGATCTTCCAGCTGAATCAGTTGAGCGTGATCTTTATTTTTTTTTTGTCGTGTTTTTCCCCGAGGCTGGACCGAGGAGCCTGCCTCTGATAACACTTTTTTCCACGTCCCCAGGGGTGTGCCACACTTGCAGTGTATCTGCGCTGTCGCTTGGTACGGGTCACTGTGTTTTATCAGTGTCACCGTTCTGGACTTGCCCGACAGCAAACGGCACGTACTGCGGTGAAGAGCTGGTGCAGGAGACACTGGGGCAAAATCACAACCACATCACATTACACCATCCCTGTATGCTCATGTTGATCTTCAGTAAGATGTTTTTCAGGGTCTATGCTTATTGCCTGACTGGATTCTGTCAGGTATTTCTCTTGTTAGATTGTGAAAAATGTACTGCATCAGGATGTAGGTAGCTTGGTTTCCAGGAGTGCTAATTACCCAGAGCTCCTGCTGGTCAGTTGGAGTTGTGCACCTTCACAGTTTGAGATAATCTGACCCTTTTTCCTCTGGGAGCTTAATACTTTAAAATAGGAAATCTGAAATACAATACTTCACAAAAGTGAAATAATTAAATCTTGAAGGAGTTACAGTCTCAACAAGTTTTCCAATAATATTATAATAACAAGTTTTCAAAAAATATTTCTCCACTTTTTCATTTCCCAGTGAGAGGGGATGTGTTCCAGGGGGGTAGGTAACAAAGCAGATGCTTTGCAGATATATTTTGAATGACTTGGGAAGACACTGGGAACCTGTTCTCGATGTCAGGAGCCAAGAGATCTTAAGAAGGAGCAAAACTGAAGAATGGAGCTGAGGATGGTAGGTTTGAACTCCAAAGGCAGGTTATTGAAGAGAAAGGCAGACGGCAGTCTCAGACACAGGAGGGCAGTTACTCCAGTTGCTGGATTTCTCATGTGAGTTAAAACTTCAAAATATGAAGAAAGAAAGGTGACTGGACATACAGATGTTGCTATTTTTTAACAATGTGCACATACATTTAACTTGCATCAGATGGGGAAAGAG